CAAGTGTGCCAGATTATGAAGTTTCCAAGAAGCTGTTTGACTGTATCAGTACTCTATCTAACTACAAGCAATTTTTAGACTCAAATACTCCAAAAATAAAGCAAGGAGATACGACTTACTCCACCTACAATTTATCCTCAATATCAAATACGACATCATGCTGTGGTGGAGATATACCGCCGCCTTGCTGTGCTGCGGGCTCAATACGGATTAACAGCGCCAAGTGTGGTAAGTTACCAACAACCAGTAACTAATACAGCGGTCAAACATGAGGCATGCACAAATGAAATAGTTTCGGCTGGTCGTCCGCCAAGTTCCTGGGAAAAATTTAAAGAAAAATGTAAAGATATCGCTTCTACGCAAAATTCACGAAAATGAGCTGAAATGTTCACAGAAAGCTGCAAAGAGAACTAGAAGTAGGGAAGTGGAGAACTTTAAACTACTCTGACATAAATATTATTTCATTAGGATGTTCTGTTGATTTACCATCAGTTTCGGGCTCTACAGAAAACTTTATTCGCTTTTGAAATGTCTTGATTTATAGTTTTGTGAGTTTGAAAAGCCTGAGGGCACTAGGAAGGGCCGCCTTGTGTGACACCAATCGTTTCAATGTTTGTACCCAAGAGATTACTCCTCTTATAGAACATGCGCAGACGTTTGACCACTGTATTCTTCTAACCGAACCTCTAAGCCAGGCTCGATTATCATCCGCTGGTTAGGGATGAGCCGACGCTCCTCCCCACAAGAGACCTTCTCGGGAAGATCGAAGACGAGAATCGAGAGAATGATGGAAGTCGAGCCCACCTTAACCTCCAATAAAAAGCTTTAAAAAATTCAAACAAACTTAAACGCGCTTAATTGTGGTGTTTCATCTATACAATGTTTTTGAGCCAAAGAAATCTAACAGATTTCTACAAGCTAGCGGCTCCTGACAATACAGAGGTGAATTGTCTGCGCTTGGTGGCACTCCACGCGCAAAAGTGGCATCAATTGGTGATTAATTAAGCTTATTTCAAATCTAAGCCGAGACAGACGTAAATTTTTGTTGTCTTTCTTTCTTTAGGCTGCTTGCCTGGGTTTAAATTCGTTTCCGGTAGTCTATGTGACCGTTGTCCATCAGACACTTATCAGAACAAGCAGGGTCAAAGGTCATGCAAAAAATGTCCAGCAAAGAAACAGACATTTGGAAAAACAGGAATGACAAGCGAGTCCAATTGCTCAGGTATGACATTGAACAAAACGGTGTAAGTGAAATAGATATAACGTAAATCAAAGAGTGTACAGGAGCAAGGATCCATTCACTACTAGTTCTCTTTTCGTTTTTACTTTGTCAAAATCAGCCTCATGTATATTTTCTTGATTTATTTTCTACTTTACAGACACAAATCCATTGCAGCTCAGTGACCAGGTCGTTTATCTGCCTTATGACATCAA